GGTATTTATTTTAAAATTTCTACTGAAACAAACGTCCAATAAGAACGAGCTTTTCTTTTAAAAAATTTGATTGGCACATTTACTAAAAATAGGAAGTTTGTGAAAATTACTGAATTTTCGAAGTTTCCATTCCTGAATGATCTTAGTTAGACAACTTTTAAAAGCCCGGAAGTAGTGAACAGCTATTTCGTTCTGGTATGAGAATCCTGGATAGCGTGTACCCACAACCACATCAGGGGTTGAGTCCAGGACCTTTTATCTAGTGAAGAGCATTTAATCCTTAGATCTCTAAGCCATTCTAACTACAATTAATTCATGATACTGAGTAAACTTCATCCATTGCCTGGGTGGAAAACTGTAACATACCCGATGTGGTTGAACTTTACTGGTCCCTAGTTATCACTAGAACTCCATGAGTTACATTTTGTATTCGTTTAGCACAAAAACAGAATCGACATAAATACGTTTTACTGAAGCAAAGTAACGAGTCTTATTGTTTTCTTTAGTTTACAATATACAATCAAAAGTAAAGGTCAGAGAAAAATTATGTTTATAACCCTTCACCCCATATATATATATATATATATATATATATATATATATATATATATATATATATATATATATATATATATATATATATATATATATATATATATATCTTTGAACATAATTCTCAAATATTCCGGATTTAAGAGAGAAAAAACAAAGAAAAAAGTCAAATAACTTGGATCTCAAATAAACTGTTATTGTAATTTTTTAGTACTATATAGGATAGATGCAAACTAAGGTTTATCATGTACGCAAAAGATAAAAAAAAGCATGATACATAAAGAAAGACATACGAGATAATTTCTTAGACAAATTATTATACCGGGAGAGAGAAACAAACTTCGGAAAATAAACGAAACGAGGCTATAATAGAGGGAAGAACTGGGTAAAAAGCAAGAAGATATTTGTTTATATTTCCCAAAACTGTCATGTTCACCGATAAACAGATGGAAAAGAGGATATATATATATATATATATATATATATATATATATATATATATATATATACACGCTTGTGTAACACCAAGGATGTATTATAATAAAACAAATAAATAAAAAACAAAAAGAGCAAAACACAACTAAATCATGATCTTAAAAACAGGTTAATTCGCACAAAAAAGTGGATATGAATATATTTTAAAAAATCCCTTAGTTATGTAAAGATGTATCCTGACATTTTGAAATTTGTCAATAGTTACTGACCAATTTATTATAGTAGTACTAGCATTATTATCAGCACCGACAGATAATCGAGTGACTCTGAAAAGCACTTTTCCATGATCTTGATATATCAATATATAAGCTTATTCCAATTCATTCCAATCCTGAATACCACATAGTATTGTCCACTTTTGCTAAAGAAAACATAGTAGCCTATTGTTTTGTTTAGATCATAATTTAGTTTCTTAAGTACCTGGTGATCAGTCAACGAATTATCGGTCCAATACACAACTGTAGCAGAGAAGTTTATTAGACTTGTAGGAAGATTTACAGATTCATTAGCATTTCTAATTTCGAATAAAGGGCACCTACCGCAAAGTATCAGATTAATCTTAATCACTTATTAGATATTATTCACGTTGACAAATGACATATGTCAATGTATATTTACGCATATGGATTGGCAACAATCATTTTAGCATCACAGTCGATTTAACAAATATTAGGTAAAATGTTAAGTAGTTAGAGGCAGTGAACGGGAAGCCCTGAACATATGCTGCATGCTATTTATCTCCTGCCAACAAGATCTACTTGTAATCTGGAGAGACTTGGTGCTCCCTTTGCGGATTTAATCTCGGGTCACTGAGTTTTACAATTTGGGACGTTATCACTGAGCTATTCAAAGCAGCACCAAACGCGTTGAAAACTTCACTTATCTTTGAAGTCTGATCAGCCCTAATGGGTTGGTGTTTGACGAAATCTCAGCACGGATTCGAAAAGCTCGTTTGGCTTTTGCCAACTTACGTCACCTTTGGCGAAGGCAAGATATCCGTCTATCAATAAAAAAACGAGTATACTGAGCGGCAGTCCGTTCTGTTTTAATTTACGGCACCGAAACATGGCCTTTAAGAGTAAAAGACACCCGTAAGCTACTAGTATTTGACCACAGATACCCTAGAAATATTGCTGGCGTCTGCTGGGATCACCGGGTAAGTAATAGTGAGGTTAAACGCAGGGTATTAGGGAATGATGATAAATCAGTTGATGAGGTTGTGAATCTTCATCGACCGAGATGGTTAGGCCACGTGTTACGTATGCCTGAACACCGATTACCACGACGTGCAATGCTAACCGGTGTTGGAGATGGTTGGAAGAAAGTAAGGAGCGGCCAAACCAAAACGTGGCATCAGTGCTTGAAGTCACTAACTTCTAGTCTGAGCCATGTTGGTAGATGCAGACTACTTGGTTGAGGTCCGCGTGAATTTCGTAACCAATGATTGGAGACTCTTAGTGACATGGCTCAAAATCGATCACAATGGCGTCGGTGTGTACACTGTCTTCCCTTAAACTAAGAGATTAAAATCACTTCATATCTTTCTTTCTAATAACTAATTCTTTCTTCCTATACTATATCCTTATTGCAATCTTTCTCCTATATATTACCATCTTTGACCTAACCACTTCTATGAATCCGGTGTTCACCTTGCTGTGCTAATGAGGTATGGCAACCTGGACCGATGCACACATGTGCCTGGTCCTACGCTATAGCTGACTGACTGACAAATTATTTGTAGATTGGTACATCTTAAATGGTGAAAACGCATGACAGAAAACTAGTAGGTTCCAACTTAAAACTTCATTTCAACTACTCCAATTTAAATTATTGGATATTATCAATAGATATTACAACACAAAAACAATATATATGCCTCAAAGACAATCCGTTCAGTAAATGGATGAAATATGTTCAAGTCATCTTTCAAAGCGAATTAATGCAAAGTTGTTTGCCCCAAATACCCTGTTACAATTGAGGGTGAGGAGAGTCCACTCTCCCTCTCAAAATGCTCTCACATGGCCACGCGTATACCACCCACTGCCAGGGAAGTCCTATTCACCACCTCACGGTGGATGTGTTGTTGAAAGAACGAAAAGAGAATGTCTGGTGCTTTGACTGACTGGTGAACACGGAGGGTTCACCGAGAGGATTTGAAAAACCCTGATTTCAAACCAATGGTGCACATGGGCTTCAGGATCCAGAGGGAACAAATGGAATATGAACATATAGTTGGTCACCGGCTACCATGGGACTGCATCTCCTAACGTTGCTCCACTGCCTTGTGGATTAGAACTTCATCTCAAAGGCTCCAGGTGTGGCCTCCTAAGAAAACAACGTGCTTCGATTTGGGCTCTCGGATAATATCACAGTCCTCACACAAATCAATGACAACTACTACTGGCCTCATTGTTATTAAGTGGTGCATAAGTATTTGGTGCCCCCTTGTACAAATGTTTGTGCTCAAGTAAATAATAAATAATGCTTGTACTAAACTATAATCTTACGATTCTGAAAACTAATTTTGATTTATTTCAACAATTTTGACAAAACTATTCTCTGATGCATATATATGCTATTAATCAAGGTTGCTAATTTTAAGATTGATGTGTATTGTGTAAAAGAAAATTTTGAAGACTAGTAAACACTAGCAACTAATTGAAATTATCATAATAGGATAAAGTCTTTTTATAGCTTAAGAGAAATATATTAGTGGTTCTAAGAAGTTTCGATTATTTCTGAAAAGTACCGTAAGGACAAGAGACTTTGTACACAATCGAAGAATGAGAAAAGATGCATATGCGCGCGTGTGTTTGTGCAGACATATACACTGACTTATATTGGTAATAAGCGTGTTATATGCACATATTTATACTGTAGTAAGCACAAGCATATATATATATATATATATAAGCACAAATTAACTTGCACAGCCATAGTTTATAAATCCAATGGTCACAAATCAATAAGTTAATAAACGCTAAAAGATGTGAGAATGTAGCTTACATACAATAAGTTCACAATCGTTTTTTCTCTTACTATTTAAGAATGTGCCGGTGTGCATAGAAAAATACCAGACTGATGAAAGAAACAAGGAATGTAAAACTACTGACTTCATCAGTATATATATATATATATATATATATATATATATATATATATATATATATATGCTTGAATAGGTCATTTTCAAGTGTACTGAATAGCTGCCACTAATCAATGATTAAAAAAATAAAACTTATTGTGTAATATATACTTATAGGTTTACTTATTTATTCGTAATAGTTTTCAGGTTTTCTTTTTGGTGTATTATCGATCAAATGAAATATTGCTAAGTTACTGAATAAATTACTGATACTAATCAATCGTATAGATCAAAGTAAACAGAATAAAAATTAATCAAGATCTATAAATAAACGAAATTTCGGTCTCATAATTTATAACACGTTATGACTTTAGACACTTAACGAAAACTAGACAACGTTGTACAGTTGATTCATCTTATTATAAGACTGATTAACAATGTCCATCTACAATCGAACCAGAGGTCGAACCTAAAGCTTTTATGTTTAGTGGAATGCGTCTAACCTCCAGACTATTGAGTTGATATCAAATAGTTTACTTGTCGAAAACTCAATCAATTCATGACATTGTGTAACCACTTTAAATGCCTCATACCCGACATGGCTGAACTCAAATAGTCCCAACTTTATACTAGAACTCCTGAAATTACCTCTCAAAATTCCAGTTGTAAGCCAGGAAGATTGATCCGAATAACTGAGATCTCATCTAGCTAGTCAGTCTACATAGTGTGGAACCTAGTTCATATGTGCATTGGTTCACGTTGTCATGGCACATCAGGACAGAGACATGCTAGAATAGAAATAGTAATAGTATTTACAAAGTTTTAAATATTCGTTGAAAAAAATAACGAAGCTGGAAATTTTACTCACTTCAGGAAGTTTTTCAGATAACTGTCTATTTAAAACATCTCTTTCTCTTTCAGCTTCCGCAAGTCTATTCTGTGTAAATACCAATTGATCTTGTGCATCATGTAGACTTTCCATTAGTCTATCACGTTCATCCAATATACTCAATAACATATCTTCAACATTAGTTCCCTCTCCACTTGCTTGTGAGTCTCGATCTCCTTGACTTGAATTACCGTCCTCCGATATAGTGGGCATAACATCACACATTTTCGAAAGGTGAACCTACATATTTTTTTAAACGAAAAAGATTGAAGAAATGATATTAATTTCTTGATAAAGGTATAATAAAGTAACCCAAGAGGAATAAGAAACCAATTACCAACACCTGTACCTGTGTAAACCTTATGCATTTCAAGATGATACAAAGTACAAGTAACTTAAACATTACAATTCGTATCTGTCTGAGTATACCTGAATAACTAAATACATTATTTATATGATGATGCTTATAATTTTGAAAACATATTTGAGCCAAAAATGTCACTTAAAAATAAGTGTTTAATAGAATAAAAACTATTTTTAGCGACGAAAGTATCCTAAATATCTCAAAATAATTAAAATGAAAAGGCATTAAAAATTTCAAATAATGAAGCATAATAGCAACTGTCCCATCGAGCACAAAAAAAGTGACTCATTAACTGTACTTTACATTGACTATATCATAAAATACATCGCACTGGTGGGACTCGCGTCATATATATCTTAAACAAAACGTGATAAGCGAGTAGTAAATATCTAATAGTTAATTAAGTTTATAAAGTTTGAAGTAATCGTGACTAAAAAAAGTCGTCAGAAGAATCATAAAAGTAACTTGGGAAAAACCCGAACCGATTTCTGCATTAATCAACTGCACATATGTTAAGTCACTGCTAATGATTAAGTAACAAAACAGAGAATCCCTAACTTTATGGTGTACCACAAATTTTATCTTTCAGTACACTTTTGACAGATACCTACATAAAACATATTTTGACAGGACTGTCTTACTCAGATATCCGGATACCTAGTTCGTTGTAATTAATGTTCAAAGAGGTTATCTTACTAAACTTTAAAAATCCTGAGTGACAAATCTCTATTTTGCAAGGATAAACTAGCCTCATCACCATAGAACATGATATTTTGACTTATGCCAAGCATTTTCATGGGATAGAAAATATTCCAATTTGAACAAAAAAAGTTCTTTAATTACATTCCATAAATCTAGTTAGATTAGCATAATTTAACCAAAAATTTGGATTAATAGAGATTAATACGGATCATCAGTCCGTATTCTGATGTCCAATTATATTCTTTCCTGAAGATGAATGTTAAACAGTTAAACTGAGAACATGTGATCAACTGTACCGAGTCTATGCAATCAGAATGGAAATCTATAAAAAGCAAGCATACTTCAAGTCGTAGACTAGTAGTTTGTGTACATGACTCCTGGTTAACAAATCTAAATCCTAATCTATATTTAAAGGTGTGGAAAGCCTTAATTGGTTGTACGTCTCCGATGAAAAGGCGTTACCTAAAAACTAGTACACAAAACGGTATATATGATCAAGTAACATTTGGTTTTTATCCCAGCAAATAGAATTATTCAACAGAATACTTTCCAGATATTTAGATTTAAGGTGCTAAATGTCTCAATCTCTTATAATCGTACTAAATTTCACTAGCAACTTATACCACGCCAACCAATATTCAACAAACTCGTGATAAAAGTGAGAGGATAGTTTAAATGAAGTGATAATGCATAACAAAACAAAGCAGAAGCAAAACAAATTATTTAGGTGTTTGCAGTCAGGAACAAAAATATCCCACATCTTTTAATATCGTATTTTCAACTCCATATTAGACATTATACGTTTCGCAATAGACACTCAGTGAGTAATAACTTGTAAACTGACACGTCGCACATCAAGTTTTCATACAACATCAGTACAGTGAGATGACATTATCAAGACAAATATCAGAATAGTGGCAGTATCAGTGGTAACAGAAAAGACTAGGTTTGAACATAATGACTTAAGAAAAACAAACTCGCTAAAGGAAAAGTAAATATAATACACGAAATGCATCGGCGTCATTGTGGCTGATTCTAACCAAAGTTATATAACATCTATCACTGGTAACGAGAATCGCACGGACCCTAACGAAGTAGTCTGGACCTATGAAACGGGCTCAGTTCAACAATCAATCATTTTATGGTTTATCCGTCACTAGCTTTCTCCCAACCTAATCCCATACCATCAAGCATAGCAATATGGTGAATCTGATAATAGCCTTAAGTAACTAACATATTGAAATCATTTAAAATGAATCTTTTAATTCCGCGACAACTACATTATGTAATGTAATGTAATAAATAATTAGATAAATAAATATCGGTCAGAGTTGCCACATAAAGTATGGGCTTTTACTCAGAACTTATTGGATAACAAAAACTGGTGACGACTTGTTGAAATCACTTGCAGTAACATCTAGATCCTTATTTTCTTTCCATAAGTGATACGTATTTATATCACTAGGAATTGGAAACGTCAGCTTCCAGATCAGTTATGAAGTTAGTTATAACTAATACAAAGCCTGGCACAAGCATGCATCAAAACAACTCATAGGAAATTACAACAATAAGAAATTAACATAAAGGATGGCGAATAATTCGAAATAATAGTAGTATCAAGGTTGGATAAAAAGATTAAACACTGGGAAATATTGTTTTAAAAGACGGAATGTATTTGAAGAATAAATACAATAAAATAATATTGAAGCTCAGATCTTGGGGGGAGACTGAATGAATCGGCCACATTGCAACCGATTCTGAGACATGTTCCTCAGTGTCTTCAAGCATTGATCATGGTTATCTCTCGAATCCCAACCACAATTATCATTCAGTCTAATAGTCACTGATCTCATGTCTTCATTAAGCCGTCCCTAATTCTATTCCAACCTATCCTTACTCCAGCCAATATTGCGTCTCGAGGTCGGCGGGACCCGGGCATGCGTTACACATTTCCCATACACCTCAGTTTGTGATTTTCAACTGCCTCACCGACAGATTTCTCATGTGTGTCTACTATTACTTCAGGATTTCTCCGCCAGCTGTTCCATCATACCCGAGCTATTCTTTGAAAAAACCTATGATCAAACCCTGCGGCTTACGCACGTCTTCTATTTTCAAGGATCATATCTGACAAGCATATAGTAATACAGTCTAGGTTGCTAGACAGAATACTCACTCCCTGATCGACAGGTAAATATATCTATACTGAGCCACAAGTGGCACATGATGGTATAACCCAAGCTCAATTTTTGAACCCAACTCCAGACCATGTTCAACACTGAAGTAGAAAGCCATCCACGATAAATATAAACGGATTGACGCTCAACTATTTTAATCACTATGACCAGTCCAGCCGTTCACTCAGAATTACAAATGCTAAAACTTTTAGCATACTAACCAGATACTCAGTCGGAATTTCTGAACAATACTATTAGAAATCTGTCCGTCTTTTTCTTTTTCATGCCTTTACCACTTGTTTTACTCCTTTTTTCTATTAGTTCTTTACTACAAAATTAGTGACATTTGTGTGCCCTAAAGTTTCACTTCGTTCATCTTTATTAAGTTGATGTAGAGTGTAACAATGTGGAAAGGCTAATGTTTGTGCCATATCCTCCCTATCTTTTGTGATGCCCTTCCAGCCAAACATAGTTAATGAGACCAGTAGGCCCTTCTGGAGAAGAGGCATACATGGAAGCGTGGCACAACTATCAGGGCGCAATATGTTTCTGCTATAGATTTTTTAGTGGTACGGAGTTTGCTTTCAAATTCAATCACCATCCTCAAATACAAGCATCAGTCAACCAAAAAAAAATTGAATTTAGCTGCCCGTTGGACTGAGACATGTGGGCAGGCGCACGCTACCTGACTGGGTTTCGTGTGATTACCATAACCAATCGTTAAATACCTTGGATGACACGACTCAAAACCGTTCGGCATAGTTCAGGTGCTTTCACTCTTTATCTCCTCCTAGATCATGTGTTTCTCAGTATTCTACCAATCTATGTTTACTTCTCGAATCATATCTTTTATGCCTAATCTTTTATACACACAAACATTTGTACAAGGGGGCACCAAATACTTATGCACCACTTAATAACAATGAGACCAGTAGTAGTTATCATTTATTTGTGTGAGGGCTGTGATATTATCCGAGAGCCCAAATCGAAGCAGATTGTTTTCTTAGGAGGCCACACCTGGAGCCTTTGACATGAAGTTCTAATCCACAAGGCAGTGGAGCAACGTTAGGAGATGTAGTCCCATGGTAGCCGGTGACCAACTATATGTTCATATTCCATTTGTTTCCTCTGGATCCTGAAGCCCATGTGCACCATTGGTTTGAAATCAGGGTTTTTCAAATCCTCTCGGTGAACCCTCCGTGTTCACCAGTCAGTCAAAGCACCAGACATTCTCTTTTCGTTCTTTCAACAACACATCCACCGTGAGGTGGTGAGTAGGACTTCCCTGGCAGTGGGTGGTATACGCGTGGCCATGTGAGAGCATTTTGAGAGGGAGAGTGGACTCTCCTCACCCTCAATTGTAACAGGGCATTTAGGGGCCTAATCTCACTGTTACTATCCCTACTACTCTAAGATCTTCGCTAACACTTCCGTCTCACTGTTCCAACAGTGTATGGTAACTTGAACGGATGCACACATGTGCTATGTTGTACATCGCATGTGAATGACTAATTCTAATTCAACTATTATTTATTGCAATCGTTAGGTTTTGTCTTTAAAAAGAATATTACCCACAAGTTGCGGTCATGAAGAAACAATTATCCCCGTCAAGGTAATGAAAGAGATACAGTACAATAGTTTGTCGACTTCTTTGCAACGATACGTTTCCTTATATGAGCGAAACTCAGACTTCCTACGATTCATTGTAACATTCAAAACAGAAATTGCAATCTGATCAACCCTTATAAAATACACTATGTATCCCAAACAAGTATTTCCAGATAACGGTGAAATCATTAATTACAACTTCAGTAGTGCAATGCCATAAAAGTGTTGGTTTACACGAACGTTAGGTAAATGCCATGTCCTAAAATCCCTACCTACGAAGTAAACTATCTTCAATAATGACCTTTATAGTACATAGGTGTCCACAAGTTTTCCACAAATAGTTTGAAGAATTAACGAATCAAAAAGTGAGCAGATTTGCACCGATATATTATCGTTTAATTTAAATACAACATAACTATAACCTAAATAGTAACAGAGATTACAAAATTATATAAAGAAAGAAATTTACTCATCGCAAAATATTTAATAGACATCTGGAGAGTAAACATCAAGATTGAAACTTAATACGATAAACAGCCAGCACCAAATATTTCGTCTTCCACTAAGAAAACTAATTATGGAAATCAAGATAGTCTTACATTATCACTTCAAGAGGCATCGAATGGAGAGGCTGGAGATAATTCTATGAAAGCCTATATTTAAGTGTATAGTTTCAAGGCGTTTGAACAGTTTCGTAACGACTAGACTGCCCTTTGTAGGATATTCGTCAGGACAAAAATATTCCAATGAATACTTCCGAAAATATCCATAGAGCACAGAAGTTAATAAATAGTACAATTCTGAACAAAATCAAGAATGGTAGCTTTCCTTTCGAAACAAAAAGCCTGCTATAATAAAACCATTAGGTGAGTTGAAATGCTATTAAACTAAGGACCAAATATATAAGCGCTAACGGCAGCTAGTTGAGGCATAACCCCCTGTGGTTTTCTAATGCTTCATAACAACGAACTACAGCATGACCAACAATGACTTTTACTTTGAGTCATATTCGACGTTTCAAGTTACTAATTGGACTATTGCTTAAGATGAAAACGAATGAAAATCTACCGGGAGGTTTTTACGTCGGAACAAATACTCTGTTACTAGGCACTAACCAATAAAGGAAAATAATTAATTTCCAATAATAAAAAGCTATGAACATGAAATATGACCAATTTATCGAAAACCATACTAGAACATTAGTTCACTGACTAATTACCGATCTCCACAACAGCATCAAAGAGTGCTCTCTTAGTTTAAAAGAGATGACATGAAGACAACGATAACCTAAAAGTCGCCAAGTAATAAACATTTGGACATGCTTAAGAAGACTCATAGTTGACTAACATGTGACTGTAAGTTGAAATATGAAGATGGTTGTGTCACTAAATGATTTTACTACGTGTCTCAGTCAGCCTTACAGGCATAGTGGTTAAAATAATAAAATCAATTGTTATTGATTCTGTGGTACTTGTTTGATGAACGTTTCCGGCACTAAAAACCGAAATGCAGTAAACGATGTAATGTTATCTAAACACACTCTTTGAAAATTATTTTAAAGCTAATTGGTGAGGTCTTTTATTACAATATACAAGTAGATATACGGCGAATAATCCAAAGGTTACCAAAGTTTGTTCAGAATATAAAATCCAAAACGTGATTCAATATTTCAACCAAAAACTACACCTTTCTAACATGTATATTAGTTACGTTTGCACCACTGCTACAGCTCCATAAGAAAGGATGGCTGAAATGTGTTGTTAATTGCTACATACTGTTATAAATTAAGTTAACAGTATTGTATTTAGGAATGAAAACACTTCTCGTGCTTGAAACTTAAACAATATAAGTTCGTCACCAATCTGATGCATAAAAAACTCCGATTTTACAGGCCAAAGTCGGAAAACTTATAAAATTTAGATTTCCACAGAGTATAGGTGGGTATCGTTTAGTTTGACGAGATAGTGTTTGTCCATGATTGGCTAAAGCGAAATTCCAACATAGCTATTTCTGAGAAACGTGCAACGATCGATATGGTGCATTCTAAAGTCGAAAAGTGTGTGAATACATTATACGCCTCATTTTTCTAAAATGGTAAACTTGCGTGCAAAACTATCAAATAAATTTACACAAAAACCACTATATTATATCAAATAATTTCACAATTTCGCGCGCGGCGTAGGTTTTCAAGACACGAGTATAGAAAAATTTTGAAGACTTACCCCTAGCTCCAAAAACTGATTCGAATTCTTTTATATATCCGTACAATAGTGGAAACCCATTTTGTTCAATGTGAGTTTTCAAATTTGCGCCAGTTCAGACGCCATGAGGTGCTGTTGTATAATGGCTCACCTGAACTTTATAACTAGTTGACTTGTAATGATTAACTGATACCTAAACTTTCAGACAAATACACTGCATGATTGTAGTGGTTTGCGTCTAGCACGAGGGTCCTGTGAGAGCATGTAGAGCAACGGTTGTTAACTGTTTGGAAGATAAAGAAAAGGTCAGTCGGCAACCTAGAAAGCGTTGATAACGCACTTGTATCTAATTAGGAAGGCAATAAACAATAATAAACAACAACACAAGCCCCAAATTAAGAAAATCTTGAAAAACCAGTGTGGTGTATGAATGAACTAATGATTCTATTGTACTTGTTTGATGATTGATTTCGAATTCTAAATACAGTACATTCGTTCGTGTTTTTCTAGTACTTCTTGATCCGATTACGTTATGTCTGGGATTCTTAGTTCATACTATGAGTCAAATACTTCTATTTATCACAACCAGGTACACGCCGTGCGATCAAATTATTTTTAATAATCAAGCCGAAAATTCTATAGTGGATGAGTTAACTGTATGAATTAAATGAAGCAAGACTGGTTTCGCGTCATTTTCAGTTTCAGTTTCAGTTTGGGGAGGATAGGAGGCTTGATGGCCTATGTTAGTCCCGGCAATGGTGGTCTCTCAGTTGATCCAACTTTCTTTTGAAAGTGTCGACGGATGAAGCCTCAACCACGTGCTGAAGTGGTGAATTCCACTCGTTGATGATTCGATGGGAAAGTCGATAGTCAGCTGACAAGTAATTTGTTCTCGGCTTGTGAAATTTTTGGAGTGTCCTCGTAAATTCTCTGCTTTGGAAGCTATGAAAAATGAGGGCATATTAGGTGCAAATTTATCCCTAAGCAATTTGTAGACTGTAATCAAGTCGCCTTTAGTTCTGCGATATGACAGCGGGAAGAGGTTCAGCTTGACCAATCGAACTTCATACGGACGATTCGCTATTCCAAGAATCAGCTTAGTCGCCGTTCTCTGAACCTTTTCCAGAAGCTCACTGTCTATTTTTAAGCAGGTGCGAATATCCAACTTCTTAAAATGACTTCGCGAACAGGAAAGAAATGACAGGAAAACACGGATAATTGTAAACTGTCGAAATCAAGTCTGAACTGCAGAAATCAGAAAATGTTAGCCGATTGAACGTATAACAGTCTAGAAGTAAGTACATAGCAAAGATTTTTAAAACCAAGAAGAAGGTATGAGAGCATTCTTACTTTGTGTTGTAGCAGTAAATATATCCCCAAAATAAATAGCTCTGTAAAATTTCGACATTGGACGCTGACCACATTAGTTTTAATGGACCCACCTAGCTGAAGGAGCTCGGTCATGCACCCGCACCAGATCACGGGTGGGAACGCCGTGCTCAACAACCCCTGCAATCGCTAGCTAGGTTAGACCAGACGATTCTCGATATATTGATAGCCTTTCAAATAAATCTTCGAACCTCGTCGCTTCTGTCTTTTGGTTTCGCTTGGTGGGGAAGATTCATATTGGAAGGTGTTGCTGGTTACTGCGTTGTCAAACTCCGAATACCTGTGGCATCTTCAATATAAATTTCTATCGATTTCGAGAATCTATATAAACTCACATCAAAAGTTTCCCGTTATTCGCTAGCCATGTGGAAAGAAATATCAGCAAGCCACCGTTGCAGTGAAACTAACTCAGTTTAGAAGTCCCCTTGATGACTTTTTTATGAAAGTGGACTTAGCAACTTATTAAATTTACTGAAAACACAACTGGACGAATGCATCATCGTATTTCTGGACAACAACTTTCATGTTTGACCAAAGAGCAAAAGAAATTATTGAGAAGCTCTGTCATGACGCATCTAGTCGATAATCGTCACTACATAGACAAAACTTCAGAGTTGACATTTATCTACAAAATTCCGCCGAATTCGCCTCATGGTTCGACAATCCCACTTTTCATATAGCAGAAGCCAATAGGAATAAACACCAAGAAACCTAACCCTTGTGTACAGAAAATGTTTAAACAACCTTTGAATCCTCCCTAGCTTTCCATTTAGATACCTTTACAAGTTTTAAAAAGTTTCCCTTGTCTTAATAGTTTCAAGAACGCAATTGACAGCACCACACTCTACTGCAGATATATGGATGAGACGTTCCTTGTCTGTAAAAATCACCAACAATCCATGTACCTACTTAGTCTGTTCAGTAAAGTACACAAAGATATAGAATTTACCATGGAACATGAAGTTGATGATAAATTCCATTTCCTAGATATTGGAATTAGGCGAACATCAGATGGCACACTACAAAGACACATTCACCACAAAAATACTTAGAGCGGAGTTTATCTCAATTTTAACAGCTTCTGTCCAATGAGTTATAAAAAGGGTATTGTATGAAACCTTTTTGACCGCGCACGAAAAATCTGCTCAAAAGAATGCCTCGAAGAAGAAATTACTACAATCATCAAATGCCTACGTGAAAATGCATATCCGGATAATTTCATCCACAAATATGCCAATACAAACCCTCCGATTAATCATGATACAGTTCAAAAGAAAACCTGCTTCCTATCCTTGCGCTTCAAAGGAGATGAAGTCGCCGGAATTATCAATCACAGAATTAATTCCGCTTTAAAAGTAACCTACCCGGCAGCCAAACTGACTACGTTATGAAAAACATACTGCTCATTGAAACAAACGAAGATCGACAAGTTTTCTCCCCTCAGTTGCTCCAACTGCATTTACCAATTCACATGTACGTGCCGTAACACATACATTGGAAGAACTGAGAGAAGAATACAGGTTCGCATTTCTGAGCATATTCCGAAGAACTTGACGCTGGGAGGGACTAAAGCTTTTAACAGTGTAATTGCTCGGCATCTACTTGACACCGGGCATACCATCGATATTATACACGCGTTTAAAATTATCAATAGACAAAGAACTACTACCACTCTCCGCTTTGCTGAAGCCATTACAATTAAGAAACTGAAACCGGCCTTATGCATCCAAAAAGAGACTTTAATAAACTTATCACTACCCTGGTAATATATTTGTTTCTGTTTGTTTTGTGTTTTGGTTATTTTATTCATTTACTTATTCTAAGATATTTTATGCTCCCCCCTATTACCTAATTCTTAAAATTTTATTCACACATTTCCACCACCTGATTCTCTTAAATTATCTAAACTTTCCAAATTCTATTTAATTATTATTACGTAATTTCTACAATTATCACACAATTTATGTACTTCACTAAATTATTACACCATCCCCTCTTTTGACCTCTGACCTGTTTCTAGCATATATATATAGTTATTATTGTAATCCAGTTATTTACACTCATTTATGTCAATTGTTTTCACACTATCTCCATGTAAAAAAAATTCTATCACAATTTTGGTTTGTAAGCAGCTGACGAGAAACCTCGAAATAATATGAATTCATACTACTCTGCATCAATGTTTGTTCTTGCTCTATTTAAGATCATATCTATCCCAATTTTACAGTCAAATTGAATCGGATAAGTATTTTATATTGTTTTCGAACCTACCATAATGATGCAACATAGTTTTGTACCGAATACTTCAGAATTCCATTCATAATCTTGTGTTGTCTGAATTGTAGACAAATTCGTTATATTATTTCAAATTCACAGGCTCCTCTACAGCATTTATGCACCAATAAACCATTTGTAAACAACAATGATACCTAGCTATCAGTGCCATCTGAATGTGACTGATTTTCCCTGGCTCATATCTCCTTCGAGCTTGTCACATTCTGATTGATCACAAATATCAAGAGATTCATAAGGTAGAAGGCATAGTTTCTAGCTCAAAAATATCTCCCGACTGTCTGACAAAATGGTCCAACATCTGACTAATGCCTATTTATGAAATGTGATGCATATCTTGCATGCGCTTCTTCTTCATTCACTTCAAAACGCTACATATACTTCCAACAGCCCACAAAGCCTTTTGAATCGGCTTTTAAATAAGTGAAGCCTTCATCAACTCAGATCCCAAGTCATTTGTCATGGATTCGATGCGATGGAGTTTTGGACGCTATCCGAATGGAAGCCAGTCAAAAGTGGTGTACTAAAAAGCACCATCTTAAGCCCTCTACATTTCCTTCTCTACATTATTGAAATACCGTTGTTGCTTGATTCATTAACATTATTGTTCGCGGATGATGTCAAAATCTGGAGAACAGTAGGAATTAAGGATGATCATTTTGATGTCCAAGCTGACTTAGGCGAATTAGTAAGATAGACTCGACGAGGGGATTTAGAAGTTAATTCTAGGATAGTGTGCTCATGCACATCGGACACGGTAATAGTTACCGTTATACCATTGATGGTCCCTTCCACGTGTTCAAGAACATAAAGACTTAGAAGTAATAACAACTACGCATTGCAAAGCAGTTGTTGTCAAAGATTTTCGTGCGTTATGATCACTTCGTCGAGCATTCAAATGTTTTGACGAGGAAATATTTCGAATTTTATAACCACTTATGTAAGACTACATTAAGAGTACTGTATCCAATCTGTCAGGATTGACACAGATTCACCCACCTACTATCCTTATCACTGAAGATTAAAGTAGGAGCTCAGCTGAGCGGTTACTGTTACCTTCTGTGGTGAGTTATATAAGCAATGGACTCAATATATTATAGGAATTAAGTCATACTCATACGCTAAAAATTCGGATACGTGTAGCTTTAACCAGGAACTAATCAAACGTCTCACTGTTACTACTTCTTGTATGGATTTTCTACTTTTAAGTTACCGATGTCCTTGCAAAGAAAGTCAGTAGAAGAAATAAGTACTAGAAAACTCATTGAAATTAATGATTTTTTAACCGAAGTCACTAAGTACATTGAAATTCAGTTTCAATTTGGAAACGACAGATTGTTTAATGGACTGTGTTTGTCTTGGCAATAAGGGTCTCTCAGTTTATCAAAATTTCTTTTGGAAGAGTCGGCAGATGGAGCCTCAACCACGTGCTAAGGTAATGAGTTCCACTCTATAATCTA